CGATCAAGTTCGAGTGGCTCTTAGTCGTGTCGTTATTTTATCGTAATGACATCAGTGCCAAAGAGAACAAGTCAAGAAAACAAAAAGTAGCTTTGGCGAGTATGACGATGAATACTTCAGATGACTACGAAGCCTCGCCTTCGCCAGCGAGTCTGCCGGGCGATAGTCAATCGTCTGGAGTGTCCATTCCCGGATTCCAATCACGCCACCACCTCACTACCGTCACTTCTTCACCTTCTCGTGTTTTTGTTTTTTCGACGATAACAATCTTCATCACTGTACACTTTGAATTTTTTCATAGCGCCTCAGCCGCATGTGAAATATTCACATTCCTCACGGATCACTTAACATAATGCTCTGCTATAATAAAACACGAGAAATGAATTTACTTGTGGATTCGAACAATAGGGGTCCAACAGAAATCATACTTGTTCTTTTCCTTCTGGTTTCGTCTTCCGTGAATCATTTTCTTTCTTTCGGAGGAGGATCGCACTCCATTAGTGTGCATTTGTTGCATTCCGTACGCAATTCGGTTTTTTTTAAAAGAAATGTCAGTTTTTAACCACCCTCTCCCTTCTCTCTGTGGCGTTTGACTGTGGAGCGTATAAACATATTAAGAATCATGGTTCATTAGCGATATTGACACTCTATACAAAGTGAACATATGTGGCTATGTTAGTGAAAACATAGATGAAGGGTTGCTTAAAAAAATGAGATCAACCCCGGTTCGACTTCCTTCGACAGCTTACCTCTTCAGTCACAGCTAAAGAGAGTTCCTGGGTGCTGAACTAGAATCTGGAACCAGGTGTTTATCCTTCCTTCCGGTACGTTTACTCAAGATGGGAAGGAGTCCGAACATTCCACTAGGTAGTCCAGCTGAGGCAGAAATCGGGTTAACTCAGAAGGAAATTTGTCTCTAAATGATTATTTTCTCTCCCCTGGCATCTAAGTGGGCAGTCGCCTACCTGAGGTGATAAAATTGTAACACTCTGGCAGTAAACTTTCGAAAACTCCATGGGAAAAATTGTTTATAACCGGTAATAACCAGTTAAACAGGAATGGCACCGACAATTATTCGCGATGATAGGCTTAGGAAACATCAATTACAGGAAGGCAATATTAAGTCAGAGGTTACCAACTCACTTCAAATTATAAGTTAACCGAATTATTTTGTAAATCAGATATTCCTAGCATTCACTGTCATTTGTGCAAAATCGAACCTTTGCATGGATCTTGTATTCCAAATAAAGTTTTAATTACGAATGTCCTCCAGGAGGAAACCTGATGTGGTTGCCCTTTAAGCTAGTGACTCAGAGAAGAAAAACCTCGAATAGACAAGGTTCTCCGTTCCAAAGTGTCTTTGCCAAGCTGGTAAAGTTTGATTTCTTCTAGTAATGAAATTAAAATAGAGAACAACGATTGAATACAATAGAAGGATGAAGGATAGACCTCTCGGCGCTGATCAATCCCTGGGGATGCGTCATGCATTCGACTTCATTAAGTATCGTTGGAGGTGATTGAATGCACATCTGGTCTTTACAATGACTCGCAGTGGCCTAAGATGTACCGAACCAGTGTTGCTATCCTCCCAGACAAGCCTGGTAACAATTTGCCGACTCCGGAGGAATAGAAGGCTTGGTAGGCCGTGAGCGCCGGGTTCGATTCCACGTGTGTGTCGCAGTGGCGCCTCCAACAAGTGCGCCACACGCGCCCTTGAATAGAATAGAATAGAATAAATAAAGCTCATTGCAGATAGCGGAGCAGAAGAGCTTTACCCCAGCGCTTCCTACCTGTCTAAGAAACTCTAGCTTTTAAGCTATATAAGAACACTATAGATGTAAATTTTCTTTCGTAGATTCTCATTGCCAGCATTTTGCCGCTGAAACTGCGCAGTTCAAATTCCCTCAGAAATTAACTGCATTCTCAGCATTAGTAAATTTCTATCGTTGACGTCGATTGACGGATTCAGTCAGTAGTGCTTCTTCTTTCTTATGCAATTGACGGCAATGATATAATGATCGCATGTCTTGACGATGAACTGATTCAGTTTGTCTCCTAGAATTATCAGTTTTGTTCTAGTCATATGTTAGTACCCACTGGAATACTTAAATACTTGGATAACTCGTTTCCCATTAGAAATCCTACACTCCTTATAACAACTTCCGTTTACCTAACATGTATACTGCTCTGCGATTCTTTTTTTATGCATAGATGGTTGCGAAATTCTGAGGCTCCCTGAGATAGTCACTGCAAACACTTGTCATGCATAATCGATCAGGGAAAAGTTTGCCATTCTGCGACCTGGTTTTTTTTGCACAACGAAGACAGCGACGACATCTGACATTGGGGTTTAGCCTTTCGGACAAAAATGCCGAAATCGCGCTCAGTTTTTGTGATAGTGGTCAGGCTGAGATCCCTTCTGAACGTCGCAGTTCGTTGTGCAGTGGCAGTTCCTCTCCTACAGTTACGGTGCCGTTGTAAATCATTGGCGGTTTGTTCATAGTCATTGTATTTATTATAGTAATACGCTTATAAACCGTATACAGCAGTAGTGTAATCGATAGTAGTGCTTTAAAATTGTTTTGTCCATGAGCAGAGTTCGAATGAAATCGGACATCATCAATTCAGAACTAAGTCACCGTTTCGTCTAACTTGGCATTTTAATACTTGCCTTTCATGAGCCATTCGTTTCTTCATAACAGAAAAAAATTCCTATGTCACATTAAAAGTTAAATCCGTAATTAAACGAAACCTATGCGGTAGTGAACGAAGCTATAGGCTTTTCCTTTTCGGTCTACGCTTTGATGGTATTTGAGTCCATGCCGAGAAGTTACGTCTATGTGACAGTGAACTTACCCTGCTACAAAATAGAAAAGCTGAAAATGTGGAGAGAATCAATGTCAAACAGTTCTGAGGCCAGAAAATCCTATTAATTCATGTGTTCAAATGAGACGTTGCAGCTCTGATCTCGTAACCCACTCAAAGTAGTCTTCAAGGAGAATCACTAAGACGTGCAAAAAAAGGGGAAGCTCTTGGCGTTGGTGAATCCTTAAAGGATGCGTCATGCATTCGATTTCATTAAGCGTTGTTAGAGGTGATTGAATGCGTATCTAACCATAACAGTGATTTGCCGTGACCTACCGATGTATCGAATCTGTACCCTCCCAAACAAGTCTGGTACAAATTAGCCGAGCTCCCAAGGATAGAGGGCTTCGTGAGCTCGGGACGCTGGGATCAATCCCAGGTGTGTTGCAAGGCGCCACTGACCACTGCGCTACACGCACCTTTTTTTTATCAAATGCATATATTGAGGGAAACAAAACAACTAATACTATTCTAGTTGAAGTCCTTTTGGATAATTCTTTTAAAGGAAGACGGTTTCCGCATCAAGAAAATACCGGGTAAACTCATTGGAGCTTTAGCTACTGTAACCCATCTGTTTGCCGACGTAAAACTGTCGCATAATTGGAGGAAAAACGACATTTCGTTTACTAATAACAGGTTACTTATTGAACGACCTCTGCTATAAATTTTTGTCGCATTGATTTCTTCGCGAATCGAACTGAGTAGGAGGCGTTGCGTGTTGGCAACTCGCCAGAAGAGCAATAAAGCGGCGCGGCCTCGTAAATCTGCGAGGAAGAGGTTGGGACGACGTGTGCGAGCCAGGACGGCAAACCGGGAAACAGGCCAAACCGATCGTCCCGACAGGAACAGAGAGCAGCTTAGTACGGCTCGTAGAGGCGGTTGGAGACAGTTTAGTGTTTAGATTAGCAGATAAGTGCAAGGGAGCCAACTCTGGTGTTCACCAGAATCCGTCACTTGGCTAATGAAAAAGTTGAATATTGATTACGAAAAGACAAGTAAGAGTTATTGGGGCTTGTACCTAACGGTCCTATTGCAAATAGAGCAAGAAAAATCGTAAGCAGAATCTGAAATGTTCCCATCTGTATTGACAGTAAATGCATCGGCTTTTTTTCCTGCCGTGGGATGGCGCAAATGACTGCTGGACCGCTACAGAATGCTGGAATGCCTTGTGGCAAAACAAACACCGTCCAGAGTTCCAATATGAATTTGCTACTCTCCTGAATATTCCATTTCTGTCAATTCCCTCTCTCTCATTCTCATTCAACTCGATTTTCGATTTCGCGATTTTCCACCCTGCAGTTTTTCGTCATTGATATGTGCCGATGCATCGTGTTTTTGAACACCTTGGGTTAACCCATACTCGTTCCGTCCTTCTCTCATCGATATTGACGACCTTCGTGTTTCCCACAGATCTCACACCCGGGCTGAATTTCTGATGCGATATCGTCGCTGAAAAGTAGGCAATAAATTTTGCAGCGTACTGGAGACGATTGACATGGCGTAGTTGTGCAGTGGTGACATTAACGTATTGGAAAAATCGGCTACATTTGTATCAAGCTGTTTAGAATCTCATCGTCTCAGTCTAAAGATAACAAGTTCTTCTCAAATATACTTTTAGTGATGATCTTCAGGAGGTTTCACTTGGTGTAATCGTAAATCGCAAAACGAAATGTTAAGTCGGATAGTCTGGTATATAAAAGGATAAAGGATAAAGCTCTTGGCGTTGATCAATTCCTGAGGGATGCGTCAAGCATTCAACTTCACCAAGCATCGTTTGGAGGTGATTGAATGCATATCTGGCCTTTACAATGACTCACGGTGGCCTACCGATGTATCGAGCCAGTGCTGTTGTCCTCCCAGACAAGTCTGCTACCAATTTTCGACCCCGGAGAAATGGAAGACTTGGTGGCCCATGGGCGCCGGGATCGATTCCACGTGTGTTGCAGGGCGCCTCTGACCATTGCGCCACACGCGCCCTTTGTCTAATATAATAGAACATTTAAATCTGTATTGTAAGAAAACTCGGACGACGGCAGAACAAAAATATGAATAGAAAACTTTTTAGATATGCCTAAAGAAAATGATAGCACATTCTCCTCTTGAAATCACCGTAGATGGCTTGTATTCAGCAAAACCTACCCATAACGATCCACCGAAGCAAATGTACTGCTCGAGCAGCTCCATCGGATCGTTGGTGTCAGTGAGGAGGCGTCACCAACCGTAGGCAATAAATTCCTGCGCGTCGGATCCGCGGCTGTGGGCGTGGCCTCAGCCGGCCGACCGGCGTGCGAGTCGCCGCCACAACGCCGCCAGCGAATTCGTCCAGCCGCCAGCATTCTGGATGCTGCTCAGCACTGTCCTGCACTTCTGTGCCATTGTACCGGTCGTCCGTGCAGCGTCTATATTCGATCAGGTCAGCAACAACTCCATCGGTGGTTTTTTCCATGTGGAATCTTCCCTCTCACATGAAATTTCAATGGTTTCGATCTGAGAAGGCGGGAAGTTCTATGTTTCGTAAAGCACCACGCATCTCTATGTATGAATAGGTTCATTTTCACAAATATTTTCCTCGGTCGATCCAAAATTCCCGCTTGTCAGCTTGTTCTAAGTCAAAGTGACTTATTTTAAATGCGGCGTTTTTTTTGGAAAAACGCCGAGTTTTTGTCTTAGTTAACCAAATGTTAGAACATCTGTTTGGACTTGGAGATATAGAAAGAGTGAAGAAGTCGGTTATAAGCTGTAAAATGAGACGACAGCAGATCACTTCGCCAATCCGTTCTCTCAGCAGAAGTATTTTATATCGCTTGTGGGAGACCTTAGAAGTGCAACTATGACTTTCTCAAATCGTTCTCATTTCTTCAGACGTCGAAAGGAAAATGTCAACCAATTGAGATTCCGTTGTGTAAAGACGCACCCTACAACTACACGTATTTTCCGAATCCCTATCTCCAACAGGATCAGCAGAGCGTGAGTTTTCGCTTTTGTTCAGGACCTCAATCAGTACTATCCCAGAGCTCCAATATGTTGGCGATAATGTTTTATGTTTTAAGCGATAAGCCTTTAATGACGCCATTTAAAGCAAACAAATGCGGCTCTTCTTTCTTCCTTGAAAAACACTGTCATCGAATCTGTGCAGATTGCAATTTTACAACCTTGCCTTGTTTTTTTTCTCGAGACGACTGGTTTTTTTCTTACAAATTTTAAGATTTCGTTTTAGTAAAGGAATGCTTTATGCAACCACACATGGTGCTAGGAACGATGTAGTGCAGTGGCTAGCGGTGTCTGCAATATGCACATGGTTGTTGGTTCGATCCCACATCTAGGGCTCACTAATGCTGTCATCTTTCCAGGGTCAGCAAATTGGTGCAGGACTTGTCTGGGAGAATAGTAGCCTTTGTTTGATACACTGCAAGATCACCGCAAGTCATTGCATGGGCCAGATAAGCATGCATTCACTTCTGACGATGCTTGGTGAAGTAAATATATGGCGATTACCTAGGATTGATCAACGTCAAGAGCTCCATCCTTTTAATCCTTTGCGCTTTATGGTCTTAATTTCGTTAGCTATACTTTTTGTCCGACTTTGATTTTTCAAAAATTTAACCCTAATCTTATAGTGCTGGAATTATCTGCTTTCGTTCTTAAGTCTAGCCAAATTCCAATCACCGTTTTCATGTTTTCTGTGTTTTTCCTTTCATTTTTTTCATACTCGTTTACGAGGTGAAATGGGAGATAGAAGTGGCTCATATTCACCTTCTTACCGTTCAATCTCTGATGTGGACCATCGAATAGCGGAATGAATGAGCTCATTGTTTTTTATTCATTATGTCTCTTTTAAATTCTCTTCCATCTTTATATCTAAGCTTCACGCGACGGTATTCTTTACCAATCTTTTCGTTTCCTTCAAGCATCTTTAGGTGACGTTCTCTAATGGCGTCTATGTGAAGAAAATGATATCCGCATCGGTGTTCTCGTTCTGTGATCGATAATGATTCCCATAGTATGACAGCACCGGGGCCGGCTTGCCGACGACGACGCTACCTCCAGAAGCAATGAATGCATTGCTTCGTCATCGTTCGCTCGACGACCATTGGCGATTCATGGAGCTATCCTGTTTCTTCGTTTCGCATATCGTTCAGTGTTCGCATTCAATTCACTATAAATAGAGAGGAATCATCCAAACATCCCAATTTCGACTGTACGAAACGATGTACCCGAACCATAGTGGTGTACCATTGAGAGAAATTTGCGAGAAGTTCTTTAGGTGACTTAAAAAAACTGTCGAAATCAATCCTGAAGATTCGACGGGAGACTTCGTTAGCAATCTGCCAACGTACAAGAAGAGTTAGTGAAAACGGACTAGACAGTCTCTGTTTACTCATCTTCTGCTCGTCTAAGTAGTAGTGAGCGCTGGAAATTGAGACTGAGGAAGAAAGGTTTTCAATCGTTCTGCACTGTTTGTAAAAAAGATTATGTGTTGCTCAACGTTCACCATTTTTACACACGAAGTAGTTGCAAATAAAAGGAACTTGTTTAGTGTTTTAACTCTCACGGCTTTTCATCAATTATTTTCGTACAACAGTCAAGGGCTTCATCGTGTCATACAAATATTCTTTGGTGTTGGACTTCGACATGCAGCGGGAGATTTATCCCGTAGCAGAGCCATTCAACCTGAAAAAGGGTTCTACATATCTGTCCAGAAGGTAATGTGCGAGTAAATCGCTAGCACTAAGAGCCATCGTCCAGCGGTAGACCTGGTTGCATCCTGTAAAACTCCGTTTCTACCCGGGTCGGCGATAACCTGCGACGTCGGTCTCGCTGGTTCAGCTGGATGGGAAGGTCTTGCGATTAGCAAGAAATACTGGTGAAATTACAGTTCTTCATGTAGGCAGGTCATTAAAATATTTAAAGGAGTAACTATTCATCTTTTCATTTAATTGTAAATGTATGTGGACGACTTTCACAGTTAAATGAGCCAACCAATTCTGGTTCCTCAATAATTGCTGCCAATGAAAGCCGGCTAACATGTCCTCATCCTCGTTGTTGACATCTGCGGTCATCCTTCTGCATTTCGTCCTAAGCATTTCTAAATACAAAGGAGTACGTCAAGTAACTCGACTGTCTTTATTGCCATAATATGACCAAATTCTGTCTAATGAGCTTATTTTGTTAAAGAAGCGGAAAATCTAGTCTCTTCTGATGTTTCTTGACTGTATCTCAAAGAATATTAGCTCCTTTATTTTGTACAAAAGTCCTTGTGCATCGTTCATAATCTTCGTCTCTGTTTTTTATCGTCGGCTCATTGATTATGGTAGTTTTCGCTTCCGGACTGGTGTGTGGGTATGCATATAGTTCGATGCCATCGTCAACAATGCTTTCCCGCGCATGGGGGGTTGAGTCGTCGTCCGTCATCGTCGTACAGCTGTCGGCGCTGGATTTTTGATTGTTGACATCGATGAATATCGCGTTCTCATACGGGAAATATGAATGCCGGGTGACTGACTGTCACCAAATCCATCCAACACCAGAGTAAATGTTATTGTCGTCCAACATCACATGGACCCTTTCGCGACATTTAGATGAGAAAACCAGAGAAAAGACGTTAAAGCAGGAATATTTGTGTTACTATTTATGGTTTTATATGGTCTTTTTCCATCCTTGGAATGGTTTTTGTAATGCGGTATAATCGTTAAGTATGACTGAATGAAGTGGTTTTCAAAAACGAGGGCTAGCAATTTGTCCTGCGTTTTTTATGAAATAGATAATCAGGAAGAAGATTAAGCTACTGGAACTGTTTAAATACGAAAGCAATTTATTCATTCGTTCCTTTTATTACTTTTATTATTATTGTTGTTATTTTATCAGTCTTCATGTTTACTGTACGGATCCCAGCACTTCTCACATTCGCTTCACTTCCTCGCATCCATTATCTACGAATTTCCTCCAACCTTTACGTGTGACCTCGTCTACTCTTTGGGGATTTTCGTTTCATCTTGAATGTTGTATAACGATCGTCCAGTCGATTCTCTCTGGAGTCCTGAGATAGTCTGGCTGGAGCGTTCCCAATTAGATTGCAGAGAGTGATTTCTTCCCGGATAAGTCCGGTACCAATTCCTCGACTCTGGAGGGATGAGAGGTTTGGTTAGCCCTTAGCGGAATCTAATCTAGCACTATGCTCGTGTTGGCCGACGTCACCACTACCGTGCTATTCGCTTCCTTGTTTTTATTTGTAGTAATGACAATCACTACTATTTTCTGTGGAGTTTCACAGTTTGGCACAATTTTTTACGGAATAACTGAAGCGAAGTAAGATTTTCTTTATGGCTACAATATTCTTGTCAAAAGTTTAATTCCGTGCGAAAATTTCTACAAAAAATCGCTTTGTTAAATTGCAGTGTTGTTGTTCGCCTTTTTTTTCTCACCAGCGTCACAAATGGAGTGTTCCGTCTTAGAATTGCACCTTCGTTCGTTTGTTCGCTTGGTTGGCGACACGTCGGGTGGTGGTCGCTCCCGAACGGAAACACTGCAACATGGTGGTAGAAGGGCGGTCAAATTCGGACGAATTCTTCGAATTTTCGGTTTTTATTTCTGATCTTTATTTTAGTCAAATTTTGCATTCTTTACATGTAAAACTGACAAGCAAATGGAACTGGATAAGTCGACTGAATAGGTAGAAATGGCGTGGAAGTTTTTTGGTGACGTCGGTTGAGATGTAACTGCAAATTAATGTTGGTATTATAATTCATCTAGCTTACTGGATTTGATTGTTATAACGACTGTAGAGGATCGATTGCGGTAGAATCAATATTACATCATTTGGGGTCAAGTTGCTGGTTCATCTAGTGTGGAGAGGTGGAAGTGAGCATAGAGGAGTATTGGAAGCCTCAACCTGTTGTGTACGATGTGAGTCCCATCTCATTGTATTGCGCAGCATCACTTCAACAGCAGCGTTTCCTGTATCATCCAGTTGATCACTGAATGATCCGAGAAAGAAATCAATCGCTGTAACGCGTTGGAACTGTCCAGTGTGATTCCTTTGCTTATGAAGGACATCTTGCAGTGGACCCAGACTTTCCGCATGATCTTCGTATTTACATCGGGTTTTAGTATGAGTGCAGCTACAGTTTAGGTCATCGAGCTCTGTTGTAAGAGGCCAAGAGTACTTATTGGTTTCTTAATTCTCTAGCGTATCCATGTTGAAGCCGTGCTCCATTAGTCATGCTACATGCTTTCTGGTCATTTTATGGTCGGCTTTTAGCGGAGTCGAACGGTCCAGGTACATTCTGCATTGATCCAAGTGCATTAATTCACCATCTAGTCATTCCATTTACCTCCCTATCAGATAAAGCCAAAAGTGCGTTTTCATTTAGTTGGCGTTATGTTGATGATATCTGTTAATATGAATTATCAATATGATTACGCAATTTTATTAGCCAGTTTTTAACATCTTTTTACTTGTATACAATCATCATGATGTTTAGAATCCCAAGGACTTAAGATCGCTTTAGTGAATCATTTTCGCACTTTTCCCCTTGCGTTAAAATGTTTTTTAAAATTTTATTTTATATGACCCGTCTTCACGTCTACTGTATGCAGATCCCAGCACTTCTCACATTCGATTCGTTTCTTCTCATCCGTCATCCACGAAGGTCTTCCAACTTTTGCGTGTGGCTTCGGTTGTTGCTTGAAGATTTTCATTTCTTCCTGATTGTCGTAGAATGCTAGTCGAGCAATTCTCCCTGGACTCCTGAAATAGCCGGGGTGGAGCGTTCCCAACTGGATTGCAGGGAGTGGCTTTTTTTCCAGGCATGTCCGATACTAATTTTCCGATCCCGGAAGGATGAGAAGCTTGATTGGTCCGGAGAGAAATCGAACTAGCATCATGCTCGTTATGCTCGTGATAACGTGACATCACTACCAATGTGCTATTCGCCCTGCTATACTTTAAATATTTGCCCTTTTTAAATTTTAAACTCATCTTTCTCACATTTGCTATTCCATTCCAACATTATATAATCGCAATTTTAACTTATTATTTACTGCCTACTCTTTTTAACGGCAGGGTATATATTGCGAAATATAGCTTTAATGATGCTGAGGTATTTGCAAAACTCCGGACCGCAGGTATCTGCGGTGGGGAACGAACGCGCTATTGTCCTTTCACCGCTCCGGGTGATTGCTGATGGCAAAAGATCGACAAAACTAGCTGAGAGACAGGCGAAACGAAGGACCCGCATGGTGTGGTGGTGAAGGCGTTATTCCCCGGAAAGGAAAATAGCGCGTCCGTTCCTCACCGCAGATACCTGCGGTCCGGAGTTTTGCAAATATCTCAGCATCATTAGAATTATATAATCGATTAGAACAGAATAAGAAGTGGATAAGAGTAACATAAAACGCATAACTTCTACCTCTTTGCATTTAGTATGGAAGTGAACGCAATGAAATATATTCCAATGTGATTGCGATAGTTCTGGGAAAAAGGAGAAAGCCTTTTAACTTCCACGATCTCTCCCGTTGTTTCTGTATGCGGTTGTTCTCATCCTCGATCACCTTCAATTGTTCTAATTCCTCAACCTAGTTTAATCCCTTCGGATTGTTTTCCTTACACTAGTTCAATCTGTTTAATCCAACTAAAGCGCTCGCCATCTTGATTCTTCTACTATAGCGCAATGTGATGTTTTCTCGATTCGCCACAGACAGAACTAATGAAATTGAGAAAAAATCTCGCCATTTTTTCCTCAGAATGCGGTTTTATGGATTACCATGGCAGGAGGAAATTAACTGAACTTTGCAATTAAGCGCGAAGGATTGGAGATATTAAAATATGCGTCCAACCAGAAATTTTTAATCGAATTTCATTTATTCTCTAGATTCCACTTAGTCGAAGAAGTTGGTCGACTATTGGATGTTTTCAGTTACAAACGAATACCGAACACTTCAAGCCGTTGATCAAGACTCGATGCAACCGGAACATCCAGTTTTTTGTGTGTTCCGTGTTCGCGCCAATGTGTCCGGAAGGGTTGCCGCAGGCCGTCACCAGCTGCCGCTCCGTCTGCGAACAGGTGCGTACGCCCTCTCACCTCGTCTCACAGAAATTTGATGCAAGAGAAACAAGACTGATTACTGTAACTCCCACGACCGACTTTCTATTAACCTCGGCATTGGTCAAGTAATTCTTCGTATTATTGTTGAGCAAACGCGAGGTATTACTTTTATTCTTTATTCACGAATAAGCTGACGTTTCGTCGGATTTCGCCTTCCTCAGAGAATACGAAGAATTACTGTTTACTGTCTTTCGGAGGACAACATGATCGAGATCTTCCCATTCTTTTGTGGAACGTGAATACTGTTGTGCCAATTTTCTTTTCAGGATTTGTCCTTGAAATTTAAAATGGATTCCTGCTTGTTATATTGCAGAAAAGATTTCTATAAAAAGGTTTAAATAAGACGACCATTTAATAGAAATGCTATCGTGGACTTGTTTTTCTGCTTTTCATAATACCGCTGTGAGTAGTGCGGCGGGTTTTTCCCAAGAGCATAGTAATAATAATCGTGATGAAAATGAAACCTAAGACATAAGTATCGAAAACCCATGCTTACCTTACCAGCAGCCATATGCAACTATGTGCTAAGAAGGCAGCTAGACTTGATCGTCTCGTTGCCATTGATTTTTCTTTGTCAAATTTTGCTCTATTTAATAGTAATTACAGCATAGGTAGTAGTAAGTACATCATGTCCGTTAGTTCCATTTATATCCTCAGAACGTTTACAGTTTACAAAATCTCGACAGTAGGACAAAGTCACTTATTTTTATTAATAAAGGTCTTCGTGGTAATAGATCTTTCTGAGTTTTCTCGTTTGCACCGGAGTCTTATCGTATTCTCACCATGTTTGGTTTCGGAAGACAGCCGTGAGCCAATGATGTGCGCTTAATCTGAACTTCTTCACGGTATTACCGTAGAGACTCTTAGATAACAAATGAGTGCCGACGATGTCCGCTCGGTCTACACTTCTTTACGCTGCGATGACCGTGGAGGAGTGATGGGTCAAATGTCACATGGAACAGTCTTTTCTTCTCAATAGCTGGAGAAGTCGATGATGTCTGTCCAGTTTGTAGCTCTTCTCGATGTGAGCGTGACGACGTGGTCCGTTCTCATCTGTAATCCGTTAACAATGCGCTTATTATTTACGGTTTTCATTTGCTATATTTGGCAGTAATTATTTCCTTGGCTATATTCGACTTCATCGGCCTGCCTCTTGCACTTTTGCTGCTAGTTCGCCGCCACATAATTAACTCAGATCATTTTCGAGCACCGTTTGGGTTTGGTTATTATTCGATTATGAACTCTAGCGATAATTATTGTGCCATTTTTGGAGATGAATAGTGGCAAAACATTGAAGGACATGGGGAAGGAAATCGGTGACAGAACGAGAACTAGGGAATGCCGTGAAGTGATCAGAGTTTAGATGGATCTCCGGGCAACAAAATATTCTTGAAAACACGTAGAGACAGCGAGAATCTATAATTTTGTTGTTTTGATTTTACTCATTTTGATTTTAAATATGTAACAATGTTATAAGCTCCAGATTTTACTAGTGATCTGGATTGAATTGTAAGAGTGAAAGAATAGCGTTACGTGAGAGAAAACTGGGAAGAACTCACCGTAGATGATAAAAGTTTAGGAAATCCTCATAATTTTCCCTTTGGCTTTTACATAATCCGTGTTTGCAGTTTGCTAATGTCATACTCTAACGTTGGGTCAAATATTTTCAACGTACGTCGATTTGTTCTTATGTGATATCAAATGGTTTGATTCAGTAGCGACTGTTCTCACTACCATCAGTTGGAACATTTACTTCGAAACTGACAGCCGCTGTACTCGGTACTTCTATGAATACTTGATGCTCGAACGGCCCATCCTCACTGGTAGTGCCGGCCTCTGCGTAATCATCATCCTTCGGAGATTTGCTGGTAAAGCTATAGTGGTTCCCTGTAATGCCGAAGTCAGCCTGGCCAAATTCTGCCCTCTAGGTCTTCATCAACACAGGACAGTTCTTGCTGATCAGAGGGAGATTTGCTACCATACGACTTTGATACCAGGACGGTGGCGGATCCTGGTATTGGTTTACCCTTAACTAGGCTTCGTGATGGAAACGCTGGACTTCTTCTCAGCTTGGGAAATCCTGCAATAGTGTTTAAATATAGATATTGCCGTAAAAATGTGCTTTTTTATCCTTGCATAACAACAAGTCTAGCTTTATTTGCATGTTCAATTATTTTACCAAGAAATGATAGCACCAGTCAAATAACTACTTAAGATCAGAAGTATTTATGCAAAACTGTGAGCCACGTAGTTATTCTGAAGGCGTCTCAATGAATAGCTGTCGGTTTAGCGCTTCACAGGATTCTGCTTGGCGAAATTCTTATTGGAAAAGCCTTGTTGTGTTCTTTGGCTTATGTTTTTTTCCTTCTATTCGTGGCCTCATGTTGTAAGCTCAGAACAGGTGCCTGCCTAATCATGCTTTGTTTACTTGACCCTTTGCTGGCTTTTCATTTGTTTTACTGCATTCGTCACACGTGTCGCGGTTGTTATGGCGGTGCAGGTGACGACGATGACGAACATTGACGAGAAGGAAGCGAACAGGTGTCAGCTATGGTGGGCCATGCTGTGACCGAAAGCATATGGACCACGGTCATGTCATATCGAGAAAAACAGCTTTGGGAAAGCTTTTTCGATCAATGCACGCGCTGATGTGAGCTGATGTGATTCGGGAGCTGTTCGTGGTCGGAACGGTAATGCGTTGTAAGCTCAGAAAAACCTGTCGTCATCTATTTTTCTTCACAATAAATCATTTAGTTTATTTATAGCCACTGAATTATAGCGTTGGATTTATAGAAGAGAACTAAAAGAATTAGTTTTCAGATATTAGAACTGCTTGGGTAAAAACTATAGGTGGTTAGTCTATTTTTAGATTGAGGGGAACCTTTATATCTTTTTTAAATAAGGTGAAGGCGAGAGTACAATTTAAAAGAAGAGGATCACTCGTAGAACTTAAAACGTCAGTACTATAGGTATACTGAGTGAACAAAATGGATAACGTTTATGAGAACCGCGAGACATTGAGAGAACGGGACATCAACAGGCAGGTGTTCAGGTAGGATAATCGATAAATCATATCTAATTACTTGTATAGGCTAAATTCTGTGGAAGTGGGATAAGGAATATTTTACGCCGCTATTGCTCCTGAAAAGTCGCTGGAAATCAAGAACGTCTCAGTTTTCTGATCTGCAATCTCACGTTCAGAAAAGATCTGTCATTGTACTAACTCCATTCATGTGGCGGTACTTGATTACGTTGTATCCTACTGTTACGTGGCGTTAGATTCTTTGCGCCTTTTTAGTCAGAGACGCATCGTACTCTTCTGCAAAAGATTCTGTTCCCGATTGTCGATAGGATCGATCGATATTCGGCTGATGGGACCGTAGACATCGGCGATTGGTTACCGATAGCATAAATCGTGCACGGGTGTCTGATCGCCAGATGCATTTAGTCGGCAATAGGCGTTACCCTGCGCTAACATTCTTTACGATCAGATTATGGTAATTTCGTTGTATAACGCGGTTTTCACTGACGGATTATCATGACGGCATCGTGTGCTATTCTGATGAACCGAAGCCGCCACTGTGGGCTGATTGTGCTTAGTCTGTTGGCAACGATGATGACGGCAGTCGGTCGGCTTTTAGATTGCAGCTGTTCTGCATCGGGACAATTATATGGCGTTGATGGGGCTTATGACACCGATTGTGGGCGCAGTAATCATGGGATGATTCGTGTTATAACCATTATACTGGTGACAGAATCGTAGTTAATGTAAGTGCTTAGACTTGGTTCCAATTTAAAAAGATAGAGAATAAAAGAGATTTTTATGAAATGCGTTCTGACCTCACGGAGGTTGTTATCCTCATTTAATATCGCAGTTACAAAGTCACGGCAATAGTAAACGAGGATTTGTGTTCTGTAGATGTCCTGTGGAAGTCAGAAAACTCTGCGCTTCATTTTTCTCGTTGCCTACTTTCTGGTTCTACTATAAAAGATTGTTTTCGCGTCGTCACCGCTACGCTTGAACGTGCGCGAGTGCAAGAATGCCGATTGTCGTCTGCAATGTCTTCTACAAAAAGGCTTTTGACCTTTTTTCTTTCAATATATGGTAGAATGTCTAAAATAAAGCCATAAATGATTTGCATGCTCTTTTCAATGAGTCAGTCATACCTATTGCCAAACCTGTATCGATAGCGATGCGTTCAATCACTTTAGTTATCGTCCTTTTGTGATATTTACGTAGCCGATAGTTTCCTTATCAACCCACTAAACGGTTCTTTAATCGAGGCGGTTTCCTATTATGACAGACATCTTACGAGCACATAAAAATTTCACTTTTGCGAAACAAGGCGACTCACACTTTACCCAGGCATCAAATTGGGAAGAGAATAACATTGTCATTGAATTAGTTTATTGTTTTACATCCCTACTGAGGTTTTTATAGGTGAAAGCGGACTGCTCATCAATTCTGGAAGAATTCGGTATCTCATGGCCTGAGCCGTTGGACTGCTCACGATTTCCACAAGAGCCAGATTTATGCATGAATCCTGACGAGAATCGTCACGGCTATGAAAAGACGTATGTATGCGAATTTTTGAGGCTTCAACGTACGAGTGCCATTGCAAGTTTAGCGAAACTAGCTGGCCGTCTCTTACCTTTAAAGCATCTTGGAAACCATCAGCTCTCATTAATTTTGGGTTTTTTTTGGATGCGTTTCCTCGAAGTATGAAATGCTGGGATATTTGCAAAACTCCGAACCGCAGGTGTATGCAGTGGGGAACGAACACGCGCTGTTGTCCTTACCGGAGAGTAGCGCACTTCACCACCACACCATCCGGGTCCTTCGTTTTGCCTGTCTCTCAGCTAGTTCTAGCTAGGGCCCCCAGATCAATCCCGTTGACGGGTGATTGCTGATGGCAAGAAAAAGATCAATAGAACTAGCTGAGAGACAGGCAAAACGAAGGACCCGGATAGTGTGGTGGTGAAGTGCGCTACTCTCCGGTAAGGACAATAGCGCGTTCGTTTCCCACCGCTTACACCTGCGGTCCGGAGTTTTGCAAATATCACAGCATCATTCAAGTCTAAACAATTTTCTCCTTTCAATAAAATTATTTACCCCAACTTTTATGGGAGGTCTGCTACAATGAGATTCTAGTGAAGCAATATTAGGTCCATGTTTCGTGTTCCTACAAAGTGAATTTGAACTCGGGTTAAGTGGTTCTTTATGGTCATGATTCATTACAGACAAAACGGTGAGCTATCAAATACTATACGGTTTTTGTGATGCGTCAATTGCTGGCCACGATTCCCTGTCATCTGCCCATCTGTTCATATCAAAGAATATCTAGCGAGTAATAGGTATTAGAATTAGGGAATGCCACTGGACCTAGAAAGCAGCAAAGCGGTTACAATGTCATCCACAAAAGGTTCATTACTCTGTCTTTGTCGTACGAGACAACTTCATTCCAAAAGGCGCTTTCCCACTGATAGATGAGTCGAGAACCAAAAGTTGCAGCGAAACCCACAATTCTAAGAGAACATATTGAAATATAGTGGGTACTTGAGAAAATTCGCTCTGAACGCTCTAGGCAACTGAGAACGACGTTTATTTCTAACTAAATTTTCACTGTGGTAAGCAAACCTGTCCCAATCGAACAGCTCTGACCCAATCATAGTATGTGTACAATACGATCCAGTGCGATGGTTATAAATCAACAGTCAAAGAAGAGCAATAGGATTCAGTTCTTGTTTTTGTCTCTTAGAGAGTCGGAGAAATCTTGAAGAAAAAAAGCCATGCGCATGCTTTCATGCGCCTTCAACAATAGAGATTTAAAAAATAGATCGTACACCAATGTCTCTGCTGTGGCTGAGAGTGTTTGTTTTCATTCGAATTGAACAATGCAATGAGCTTGACTGTGGTCGAGCAGAATTTCCGGAGTAAGATCATAAACAAGAAATAAATAAGTGAGATCGTTAGTGAACTTTGCCCACTCTATCTTATTAATCACCCACTGTCGTTAGCTAAAAGGTGTTGCTTTGTAATCATCTTGGAAATTTGGCCTATATTACGAAGAAGGACTTTTAAATTTATTCTCCGCTTTTAGCCTTAGAAATAGTTCCTGATTGTTGCAGGTCCCTTCACCGCCACCGTCTGCGTCCGTCGTCACTTTCGTGTCCGCACGATCTTCTCGACGTCGATCCGATGGACAACGAAGGCGTATGTGCGTATAAATGCGGAGCGGATGTGATGTTCACCAGCGAGGAGAAGGTGTGCTGGGGCTGGGGAAAATATTTGTTAAATGGGTGTTTTGAAAATAAAATGGGTCATACCAGATCGTTACATTAACTGTATCACATGATGTTGTTCTGCTACCGAAGCGAATAGCATAGGTCCAAAATCGTCCGAGAAAGAACAAAACGGTTTGGGGTTGTTAACGATATGAAGACGTCTCTACAGCACTTTTCCGTGTCAAAGTGACTAGGTGTGTCCCTGAGTATGTAAACCCAGTGTACATCGGAGATTCATCTTTCTACCTGAACCACATACCTATTTATGAGCAGAAGAAGGACTTTAAACTTCTTACGAAAAGTGCTGTGCTTATTTCCCACGAGTGAGAGAAGCCTGTTAAGCACTTCTGGTAGCTAACATAGTTAAGTAGAGTTTTTACTGATGACCGCTCCAATTACTCATTGATGTACAGGAATGGAGATGGTGTGGATAATAAAAAAATCATGAAAACATAGAGGAGATTAATGTTTAATTTTTATTTACCATTTATTCTTTTCTTATGGTAGGGTATTGCGTTAAATCGGGTCACTCGATGATCAACGCGACAACAGGTGATACAAATAGCGACCACAAGGATGTTGAGATGCGACTATAACTCAAAACCTCAAATGGGCTTCGAACCCTCGAGAATCCGTACGTGGGGCTCATGTGCTATCGACCACACCAACCAACACCTTTGCTTTGCCTTTTTGCTTTTTTTGTACTCTATTGGCCCATACCTATTTCGTTTTCTGTTGAATAGGTACTGCTAGTAACACCGATAGAGTTAAAACATGGGGGAGAGAATGGGAAATCATGGGCTTCAGTCGATGCGGTGGATTGCACATGAGCCCCCGGAAAGAGTAATGGCGGAGTCGAAACTCAACTGAAGTTCCAAGTTTGGCTCATGTCACATCATCCTTGTGATTGTATTTCAAATAAAAATGCTATTTTGATATTGTCATTGTTTTCCAACGCTGGAACAGCAACGAGTATGCTTATAATTTTGACGTTTTTCTTTAATCAGTTTGTTTACAAACGTGCGCTTAGAAAGAGGAGGAGTTTTACTGTTTTAAGATTTCAAAAAGAACTTAAAATAGGGTTTCAACAGTGACTGACGGGCGATGAAGTACGCAGTTTTCTTACACCATCATTTTAACACTCAGAGAAATAACATGACCGACAATTGAGAGCAGTTATTTGAGATTAGTTGTGAACTGGCCAAAATCATCTTAAAGTAGTGCATTCGTAACTACTATTATAACTCTCTATATTCTTCTTGATCAAACACGAGGTGTTGTTTTACGTCTTTAATTACGAGCAAGCTGACCTTTCGGGGGATTTCGCTTTCCGCAGAGCTTGGAGTGGTCAAGTTGACCGCAGTCTACCCAGCCAAACATTTCCATAGCCAAACAGAGAAAATGCCAAACCAAGAGCATAATCACATTGAACTCAATAACACCTCGCGTTTGCTCAAGAATAGCATAAAGAATTATTTAATCAATGCTGAGGTTAATAGAATGTCGGTCGTGGGATTTACTACTATAGCTGTTACGTCTAATAAGCTTTATAGGCTTTTAGGCAGCCGCGAGAACCTGGATGGTCATGTGGGGCGGGTTTGACTTCATCGTCAGTTTATTAACTTTCCTCACATTTCTCATCGAAAGAACTCGTTTTCGATTTCCAGAACGGTTAGTAGTTTTCCCTAAAACTGCATCAATTTTTATGATCGCTACCCTAATAGTGAACGTCTGCGAGCATCAATTTGTGAGTGTCCGAGTGGCGAATTGATATTCGCATGCGGTGTCGCGTTTTCGCAAATCCTCGAAAGTACCGTATTTAAGTTGTGTTTGTCATTTGTTTGATGGATCTTTTTCTTTAAGAGAAATCAAGGACTCGACGGGTTTTTGAACTTCTTTCTATTAACAAGCAACTAGAGGACTTTCAGATGTGTTTTCTACATTTCGTTATGCTTCATGTTCTATTCGATTTCATATCTCTTCCCATTAATCATGCAGTATTCGACGAGAGCATGTGATAAATTAATCAATGGACAAACCTATTTGGTATTTTCTGGTAAGTGGTTTGATTTTTTAGTTCTTTTTTTCGTGAAACTTCTGAAAGTTTTGAGAATTGTTTCCTTGTTTTTCAAAATAGAATCAAGAAAATTTTGAGAAATGATGGGGACTTTCGAGAACGGGTTATGAACCCTTCTCTGAATTCTTTTCTTTCCAGGTTTCGAGAACACTAACTGCTTGTTCTCGTTTGTATTCACCTACTATTTTGGTACGGCTAGCGGTCTTTGGTGGTTAATGTTTGCTTTTACCTGGTTGGTTTTTACCACATTGATTCAGTATTAGATGAATTACGGTATAATCAAAGGGAAATGCAACAGTACCGTGTTGGTTTACAAAAAGCAATTTCTACTGTATTTGCGAAACCCCATCTATAGGATGGTTCACTTATTTTAGGAGGTCGAAATTTCATAAATAACATTTGGGGAAATTTTAGTAGCTTTGGGAATCTGCTTGTAAATAGGCTTCTGTGTTTTATGCGTTATATAGTAGGAAACTGAGAAGTGGGACCAGATTGCGCTATATGCTAGCCTTTCCTGCTATATGGGAAATCGTTTTTGACTAATATCATTTTCCTGAGAGCGGTCGAGGAATTTGGCTGCTCCTAATAAGATTGGGGCGTCGAAGCTGTGGACTCATTGGCGGAATGTTGATGAGAGTTAGGGCGGAAACGCAATTTGTGTGCTTGGAAATGCTTATTTCTGATATCGTGGTCACTTCCCTCTAGAAATCGACAAAATAAGGAAATTGTAATCTCATAGATTGACGTTGCTGAAATTAAGTCAGAATGAGAAGACCAAGGTCAGGAATGATGAATAATCAGCCAACTTTTTTTACATTTTGTCGAAGTTTCTCGCTTAGATCTGTCATATCTACAAATGTTTTGCACTGAAATTATCTTTATGTGCTCTTAGGAATTTGTTTCTTGTTTCTTCAATTTCTTCTTCAGGTATTTGTCAGCCTCTAGAAAATGGGTCCCAGAAGGAATAGATGCTTGTTCCATCTACTTGCATCTTGTCGCGTGGGGAACAGCCGCCCTGATGACTATAGCTGTTCTTGTATTGCAAAAGGTCAATGCTCAATACATATAGTAGAGTTTTCTGATAGATCACAATTATCACTACTGGGTTGAATGCTGATATAATCGTGAGGAACAAAACGTGTTTGTCATTGGTCCATCGCCGCTATCGGCATCGTCGAGGTAACTAAATGCACATTTCCCCTACAACGGGTTCGTAATCGTATAGAGCAAGTGTTGTTGTCGCCCAGAGAAGTCTGTTACCAACTTGCCGACCTCAAAAGGGTGGAGAGCTTGACCGTTGTTTGAGATCAAACTATAGCCTTGTGCTTATTGGTACTTGTAACTGTTTTGCTCAAAACACTCCATGGTTACGGGATGTCTGCATGATTTACTGGGGTATAACTTAACTTCACGGGCGCTTCTGGCGCAGTGGTTGGAGGCACCGCTGCGACGCACCCGTGGAGTCGATCCCCACGCCCATGGTCCACAAAAGCTTCCATCTCACCGGGATCGGCAAATTGGTACCAGGTTTGTCTGGGAGAATAGCAGCACTGGTTCAATAAATTGGTAGGCCACTGCGAGTCATTGTAAAGGCCAGATATGCATTCAATCACCTCCAACGACAATTAATGAAGTCGAATGCATGGAGCGTCCCTCAGGGATTAATCAACACCGAGAGAGTTAGAAAGAGAAAGAGCTTTATAACTTTGCTTCATTCAATCTCTATCGCCGTATTGTGTTCGATTTGCAAATTCACTTAGACGATATATTTAAATTCCTAGCATACAGGATGGTACGGTTGTAATAAAGGTTAAACCTTTCAGCGTTAATCATTCCTTGAGGGATGCGCCATGCATCCAACTTCATTAAGCATCGTTTAGAGGTGATTGAATGCATATTTTGCCATTACAACGACTCAAGGTGGCCTGCTGATATATCGAGCTAGTGCTACTATCGGAGGGATGGAAGTCTTGGTGAGCCATCGGCGCGGGGATCGATCCCATGTGTGTGTTGCAGGGTGCCTCCGACCACTGCGCCACATGCCCCCTTATCTGCGCAAGGTGCAGTTATATCTTTCAGAAAGGCTCTACCTGTCAATTTGTACATATATGGTTGAAACAATATTTGTTATATAAAATCCCCATTCCACCCACGCTTATGAAAAATCGCCGAAAAGAATGCACTCCTGTGGTATATTTATTTATGTGATCTTATAAACTGATCTTCTTAAGCTGACGCGAGGTTGGTACAGATCTTCATTGTCGTTATCGTTGTTTTTGATGTTATTGATCGATGGCTGACGTTTCGGCGACTTCGCCTTCCTCAGCGCCGTGATGTTACGTGTGGGACAAAAACAACAACAACGACAGCGAAGACCTGTACCAACCTCGCCTCAGCTTAAGAAGATCAGTTTGTAAGATCACATAAATAAATATATCAACTATCTATGCCGAGGTTCATAGAAAGTCGGTCTTTTGAGTTATTAAGACACTCCTGTGATTTCGAAACCGACTTTCCCTGAACCTCGGTGTGCCTAATCAATATGTATTCTTTCTTGATAAGCTTGCACGAGGTTGATAAATATATTTATTTTCGGCTAACGTTTCGACATCTTCGTCTTCCTCAGAGCCGATGATCCGAGTCGATGGTCCATGATTGTTGCTCGTCTCGACGTTGCATCTTCGCCTTAGTGTCGAGCCAGGTCTTCCTCAGTGATCCATCTTCTCGAATCATGGACCATCGACTCGGATCATCGGCTCTGAGGAAGACGAAGAAGTCGAAACGTTAGCCGAAAATCGATATATTTATCAACCTCGTGCAAGCTTATCAAGAAAGAATACTCCTGTGATTTTTTGAAACCCCCTATGTCGAATGTTCGAGACAACAAAGCAATTACATGCAAAGATGGAGTGGGATATTCGTCAGGAGTTATACGAGCGCGAAGAGGCAGTTAACAGTGGTGAGGTTATTCACGGCATGAAGAACTACTGTGTGAAGAAGTTCGAAAGCTCCCAGTTTTCAGAACTCTTGGCTGTTATCCCTTTCATCTTCTTTACTTTCTTGTTCGTATACCACACGGTAAGCATTGGTGCTTTCTCTTGCCACTATTTAATGAACTTCTGTACCTAAACGAACTCGAGTTTTCAACGCCAAGAACTGGGGACATGGGCTTCTTGATTTCTACCGTTTCACCACTCACTTTATTCGAAAATCAAGCACTTACTAATGGAGACCCATTATTCAGGTGGACGCATCCGAGCTTTCCGGCATCTGCTCTGTCGGCAACACGGATCCTACTGCTCTAATGGCGTTCTCCTTGTTACCACGATCGGTGCTCGTGCTTACTGGGGCCTGTTTCGTGATTGCAGGTTTCGCGAGCATGTGCCGCGAGCGTGACAGCTTTCGAAGACGGGTAAGTCTGTAATGTTTTTCATTATTTCCCATTTCGTTTTGTTACTTACTTTTACTTGTGTTTGTATAAAAACCATTGAGACATAAGTCTTACTTCAAACCAAATCAATAATTGATTAAATTTATTGTTATTGCTGGTTGGACTTTTTATTTTTTGTTCCATGTAATAAACCATACCTACCAGATGGAAGCACATATGAAGGACTGAAGCGAAGAGGGAAAGCGTAAAGTTGTTTATCTTCATGAGAACTCGTTTTCATTGAAATACTTAAGTGATTTCATTCGAGAACCTGTCAGATTTTTTATCCAAATTAATCGGAAAAGGAGTGATTGATAACTGGGACATAACCACAGTGGTGGTGAAATAATTGCAAGCCTTCGGACCGAAGATGTCTGCGGTGGTGAACGAACGCGCTATTACACTTTCCGAGCGCTAACGCTTTCATTACCACACCATGCGAGTCCTTCGTTTCGTCTGTCCCTCAGCTAGTTTTCTATCGATCTAGTATCGAATAAGAACATAATTCGTGTCAAGCGAAATAGTGCAGCTTTAGGAGCTTACGTTGTTTGGTCATAGTTTCCTACCTACTAATTGATCGATGGATTTACTTTAATAGGTGAATAGTTCGTTCAAGGGTTAAATTCTCGGCGACTTTTCATTGTAGGAAACTTTAAGTAGCGAAAGTGTTTCGGAGCTTTAAGTGTCGCTCCTCCACCGAGTACATCAAGCCATTTAGACCCGACATCTATCCATCCACCCAATGAAACAGCATTGAAGACTATGAAGACAAACCTATCGACACACCAGCAACAGTTTAAATCATCGTTTTTTACTAAATGACAACCAGGATTGACGACTCAGAAAGTGCCATCTGCTTAGAGGCATACGCAGATGGGTTGGTCATAGCATGGAAAAATCACCAGAAAGAAAACGGTAAGAGAGGAAAGAACACTATGAGAATATCTTTGGAGTCATTTTCAGCTAATTTTTCGTAGAATTGTGGGGATATAGTAAATACGTAGCAAGACAGCGTAGTAGTGTTGTTGCCGTGACGGAAGAACAACGTGTTGACGATCTTTAGTTGCTCTGCGTCATATTACTAAAGAATAAATGATCATATTCTTTCCTGGGAAGTGGCATTTTTATGCATGAAGGAAGCAAGACTGAACGAGAGAAAAAGAGAGAAAGAGAGAAAGATGATAGTGAATCTATCATCAGCGCTTTGATTAAGAGACTTGAATGTGATCGATCGTAAAGCTAAGGATAGAAAGTACGGAAGCGATTAAGGGAAGCCGAGGTGAACTGATTCTTACAGGAGAATTTGTAAGGCCAATTAGTTTTGTGTTTCAGGGTACCGATACGTCGAAATTGGACAAATTGATGTTCAAAATGGGTCTCTTCTGTCTACTGTACATTTTTCCAAGTGTAACACAGATTCTTTGCGATATCTATGCCTATAATACTGTGAAGAGATGGTATCCAACAACAATTGGCTGCAAAAGCAGTGGAGGAGTCGAAGGGGGACACTGCCATCGTCCACATTTACCACAGGTGCGTTGTTCTCCTCACATTAAAACACCATTTGGTCTGTTGATTCATTTGCTACAATTGCCTGTAAGATTTCTAAGCAATAAATTATTAACGATTTGCAATTGAACATGTACCACATTCAAAGCTTGTTGAAGGCAGTAGTTCAGCGGTCCTCATCATTGAAAAGGCTTTCTTATAGACAAGAAGCACATGTCCCTAATGCCACCGGATACACACATACCAAACTCGAATTCTATTTCCAGTTTTATCTCTGCTTACTGCACAAATAGTAGCCTGATTTCGTTATTTCAGGCAGAGATTTACCACCTGAACTTGATGATGTCGCTGGCAATTGGAGCTTCGTGTGCAATGTGGGTGTTGTCGCCGAAGACGTTGTTGTCCTGGCATCGAGTACTTTGTTGTGGCATGTGCCGTACAGCACCACAGAAACCATCAACAACGGTCTCGGCAACTCGTCCGCTTCTCGAGCCGCCAACGGCTCCACCGCCACATCCGCCGTCTCATTATGTACCAATGTCGACGCACAACAAGAATCAGAATACGTGGCGACCGTCGAAAGTAGTCTAGTCGACTTAAATGGATTGGACTTCAAGTGATCAACAAAAGTAGCTGTTGAGAAATGCGAAGCCATCTATATATATATATATTCATCTTACTGTAAAGTATTTATGGTGATTGAAATGCGCGTGCTATGGTATGGAAAGCAAAGCAATTATCAGCAATTTTCAGCACTCCAATATTCCCGAATGTTCGACGAATTTTTTGGAACAGTACTACTGCAAGACAATAAGTTTCTATCACACTAGCGATCTTGATTCAGCCATGACAACAGGGCCACAAATACTCGTCCATCAGTGTAGAAAGAGAACAACGCCGAATTCGCTCATCTATTAGAATAGGCAGCAATCGATACGCATAGTTACTTAACGTTGAAGTACATTGATGGGTATTTGAGGCATTGTGCACCTTAATCTTGTTTTCTGATATTCCTAGTTTGAGTACCACTCATTTTCTTTTTCACCTCTTTGATCGTCACGGGTATATCGCCATATGTTGTAAATATGTATCCTCGCGATGTTACTCATATAGTATAGATTCAACTTTCCACAATAAAACTCGCATGTTTATTTGTTGCTGATTATAATACCAGTCAGGGATGGGTAGCACTCTTAGTGATGTCGGTCATCATGAGCATGGTGCTAGTTCGATTCCGCTCAGGGTCAACCAAGCTTCTCATCGCTTCGGGGTCGGGAAATTGGTACCGGACTTGTCTGGGAAAAAATCACTCTCTGCAATCTGATTGTGAACGCTCCAAGCTGGCTATCGTAGAACACCAGGAAGAATTGCTCGACCAGCATTCTACAACATTCAAGATGAAATGGAAATCCTCAAGTAGCAACCGAAGGCACACGTAAAGTTGGAAGATCTTCGTGAAAGATGCAAGGAAACGACTTGAATGTGGGAAGTGCTGGGATCCCACACAGTAGACGTAAAGAGGGTCAAATAAAACAAAAATAAAATATTATACCATCGGTTTGAATAAGCTCCACCGATCATTTTAAACCGAATCTCTGCTGAGGACTTGGGTTGAGTGGTGTTGACATTTAAAAAGTAAGTTTTTACCTAGCAGTCATATACTCGAAATTCGTCTATCCAGTGGATGACCTAGAGGATTCAGTGCCACGTTTTGATGGCAACAAGGGTATTGTCAACTTTGTGTATTTAACCACTCTGTAATCATAGCTCAGAGTTGTTCCCTTTTTGTGAAACTTTCCGCCTACAACACATTGGTACCGGAGGTCTTAGTTCATCCCAGGGTCATTCTGTCAGTGGAAAGGAGAAAGTGGTTAACTATGACGTACTTAATTTTTTATCTACTGCCCATCACTTTTTCACTTCAGGGTATTTTGTGAAAAACAACCAAAATGTCAAGGTATTTGGGAAACTTGGATCTCATGCCACATTTGAACCCGCGATTTCCCTTTCCGGGGATCACTTTCTACCCACTACATCATTGAAAGCATTGCTTTGCGTTTCTCTCAGCCAGTTTTTTTTACCCTAACAGTGCCATCAGCAATAGCGGCCAACAGGGATGATCTGGGGAGCACCATCTCTTAGCATCATTGTGATTTTGCTTCACATTATACTTCGCATTGAAAAATAATGGGCGATGGATAAAAAGTCAAACATTGTGGTCTTGACGGCAGCCTCAGCATAACTGAGTTCAATCTCGATTTGTGCTCCGTAGATCATTCCCGTTGATGGGTGATTGTTTTGGCATAGTTGGGGAACGAGCTCAGAGAAAGATAAAGCGTGGCCTCAGTAGTGCAGTGGGTAACATGAAGTTTGAGCAAATATTTTACTCACTTTATTCAAACTTGCTGTCTTTCCAGCTACTTTCTTATTGATTTAGTATTAAATTGTTCAGAAATAAATAAGCGTTTTAAAATATTTATTGTTTTAATGTGTTTTCTACTAATAAAGTATCCTTTGTATCTGGTAACATTTGAAAGCTAATTTTGTGCTTTTTCTAACAGTGTCTTTATAACTCGTATATAATGCTGAGATATTTGCAAAACTCCGGACCGCAGGTGTATGCGGTGGGGAACGAACGCGCGCTATTGTCCTTACCGGGGAGTAGCGCACCACCACCACACCATCCGGCTCCTTGGCTTTGCCTGTCTCTCAGCTAGTTCTATCGTTCTTTTGCCATCAGCAATCACCCGTCAACGGGACTGGTCTGGGGAGCCCTAATCCGCACTGAACCCAGTTAAGCTGAGGCATAGTCATAATCATAATCTTAATCCTTTTATTTACTGCCTTTTTCTTTTTAATGGCAGGGTATGTTGCGGGAATGACAGGACAATAGCGCGTGTTCGTTCCCCACCGCATACACCTGCGGTGCGGAGTTTTGCAAATATCTCAGCAATCTTGTAGTTGTATTTCACTTAATACCCTACCATAAAGTAATAGAAAGCAGAAAATAAAAACTAAACATTATACCTAAACTATTAAGTAACAGTAAATATTTGACCCTTATAACGGTTTCACGTCTCATCGTGGCTGCCAGGTGTTCCCGGGTGTCAGACTGCGATGCAGAGTGGGGAGATTCACCGCCACCAGAGTCTCCCAAGCTGAAAAGGATTCCGGCGTTTACATCAGAAAGCTCAGATATGAGTAAACCAAAACCGGGATCAACCACCATCTTGGTGTCAAATTAGTCACATAGTGGCAAATCTCCTTCTGATCTACAAAGGCTGCGTCTGCTTGTGATTGTGACGACCTGGGGCAGACTTTGGCCAGGCTGACCTCGGGATTCCAGAGAACCACAATGACTACACCAACAAATCTCCGAAAAAATGAATTTTATGCACAATCAGTGAGGGCAGGCCATCGAAGTATCCAAACAAGTAAATAATTGATAAATAAACGATTTCAACAGTTAACTTATCAGTGATGGACAGAAACAGCTATTAGAACTCGTAACATTTGAAATCTGCAATCACATACAGCTTTACAACTTTTACAATTAACTCCTTTTGTATTAGTTACTGATACAACCCTGGGCAAAGTATTCATTGGCCGGCTGGTTTTAGTTCTCACCTATTTCGAGTGTACTCCAGTCATAACATAGAGCCATATCATCTAGATAATTGTCTGTGACAGCGACCGCTAAGTCGCCTTGTCCTTTTGATTGGTGACCGACATCTGTCAGCACCTGTCGACTTGAGCGTGCAGACACTTGCACTATTCTCATCTGAATCAAGCTCGGGTAAACCTTGGTCTTGAACTCATACATCTGCACTTTCCGTATGATGTCACGGTGATACTCCATGCTTTCACTATGAACCTAAGTGAACGGGCGGAAGAACAGATAAATATATCTAAGATGAAGGAGAGAAACTGTGCTTATTTATTTGGAAAAGGAAGAATGCATGCACTATTTGATAGTCTTTCCAATACACGCTCTGTGATCAGCAGAATTATAGATAGAAATATGGGACAAATAAAAATAGCTAGATATGTGGATAGAAATAAACATGCTGCTAAAGAGGCTACCTAAAGGCCTAGGTATGACTAATCAATATGTGTAATATGGCTCATTCGAGAGTGATGCTCCACTGAGGAAGATGCGGCACGATGCGCGACCATGACGTCAACTCGAAAACGCGAACAATTGTGGACCATCGACTCGGGCCATCGGCTCTGATGAAGACGAAACCGTCGAAACATTAGTCGGAAATAAAGAATATTTATCAACTCCGTGTAAGTTTGTCAAAGAAAATTACACAGTTTTATATCTTACAACACTTTAGAGAAAAGTGGCCATCGATGGCGGATGAGTGATAAACACGAAATATCACATACCTTCACATGCAGGATTCGATAATTATCAAAGGCATGAGAAAATTCAAATGAGAGCATAGAGAATCTGAAGGATATGAAAGATAGTTCATATGTTTGCGCATTTTGTGCATTGCACAACTCACCTTAAGAATTCGAAATATAAATGCAGTTAGTATGTATTGTCCAAAAATTCCACTTTGTATACCTTCTATAGGACGGTGCCGCTTCCGACCATTCTTGGTAGCTAGAGGATTTACGAAGTTGGTTCGACAGAGCTGCAGAAGACTTTGCTCTGTCTCAAGGAAAAAGCGCTATTTTAGCTTGAAGTTTTTTCGTACTTTAGGTTTCAAAAAGATTGCGTTAGTTCACTGGAGTGACAGTTATATCCCTCCTTTCGGCCTACTATGGCCTTTTTATAGGTACCGCAGCTCGAAATTTCAAGCTCAAAGTTAGGGTAATTAGACCTAATCAGACCTTAATACGTCAGATTAACACAATAATGACGAACTCAACAAGATCCACAAGTGTACGTACTGTACAACAATATACACAGTCACGTAGTCAATGGGCACGTGCAGCACGAGTCGGAAGGTGGAATTGTAATAACATTAAGCCTATTGTAACAAGATTCAGGATATGTTTTAGGATGATGTGAATTCATCATAAAATTATTGCAAGTATAAATGAAGAACTCGACAATTAATGCGTACTCATAAGAAGGAGTAAGGAATTAGCTTCATTGGAAACAGTAAGGAAGAGATTGTCAATAACTTAGCGGCTTTTGCATTAGGTATATAATGTATAAAGTATAAATATGCGTTTAGCTTACGTAAATAAATAGTTCAACAATTAAAATATTTTCCACGAGATAAAAAAGGAAGGTAATGTGAGCGGCGTGACTATTTTCCAGGCGAATGACGTGATGCGACACATGCTTGAATGGGTCGAAGCTAGTAAGGCTGAGGTATCATGAGGTGCTAGTCATGGATGTTAGGTAAACACATAGGTTTTTTGACGAGTAATTTAGATGTAACACATAAAATAGCAAAAGTGAAAAGTGTTAAGAGAAGTACATACTCTATATGTAATATTTATCGTGAAGTAGCCTCCCAACGGTTTACCGCCTCACCGTGGCTAGGTGTTCCTGAGGTTTCCTTAAGGAGGCCTAACTAAAAGTGAACCAATACCAGGATCCACCACCGTCCTGGTATCAAAAGCGC